GTTGTAAGGGCATCCGCTGCGTAAAAACGTGCTGGATAAGTTGGCGGTTCATTCCGCTGTGGCGACCCCGGATTAATAAAGGGACTAAGCCGACAAGAAAATGAATGAATAACTAAACTAAACCTTTGTATCAAATTGTGTTAAAATAAACAATTGCTTATTGAAAACTGGATATATTAATATCAGAACTGAGCAATACTTTTTCATTCTTCTGTAACAAAATTAACTTTATGAAAATCATTTGTATGTTTGGGTATACTAGAGAAACATTCATCAAAAAAATCTAAATCGTCATCTTAGAATTATAAGATTCTTGGATTAAAGGTCTCAGAAGATGAATCATAGCAATGTGTACAAAATAAAAATTTCCAATAATTATGTATGTATAGGTATTCATATATCCAAAAACTTTTTTTTCCAAATTTCATTATTATTTTTTTAATCTTATTTCCTTTTTTCAGTTTTTTCTCTTCTCTTTTCATTTGTATTGATTTGTACCTTCTCGTATGTATATATGCTCTATATGTAATGTACATATGCAGATATCTGACTGGACTTGTGGATATGACATGCAGTACAGGTGAATTGGGTAGGCTAAATTGTCCGTAGTGTATGAGTGTGTGTGCGGATGTTTCCCAGAGATGGGTTGCTGCTGTAAGGGCATCCGCTGCGTAAAAACGTGCTGGATAAGTTGGCGGTTCATTCCGCTGTGGCGACCCCGGATTAATAAAGGGACTAAGCCGACAAGAAAATGAATGAATAACTAAACTAAACCTTTGTATCAAATTGTGTTAAAATAAACAATTGCTTATTGAAAACTGGACATATTAATATCAGAACTGAGCAATACTTTTACATTCTTCTGTAACAAAATTAACTTTATGAAACTCATTTGTATGTTTGGGTATACTAGAGAAACTTTCATCAGAAAAATCCAAATCGTCATCTTAGAATTGTAAGATTCTTGGATTAGAGGTCTCAGAAGATAACTGGACTAATGCTCTTCAAGGTATCAGGTCCTGTTCCATTAACTCTAACCTCCAGCTGAATCCAAGGTAGTTCTATTCCCGCACTGAATTGCACTCTATATACCCCTCTGTATCGTCTCTATGTATTAAATGCAAGCCCAATAAAGGTACACTGGCTCACATATTTCGGTTCTGCCCAAAAATGTCTACATTTTGGACGGAGGTGTTTTCCTCCTGACCCTCTTATAGCAATATTAGGCTGGGCTTTGAAAACTATAGCTTGGATCAAATCCAGACAGTTCAATATGGAATGACTATGGCAAAAAAGGTAAAACTATTGATGTGGAACAGAGTGTATACCAACATTTGAGACATGGATGACAGAGTTTTGTAATGCACTACACATGGAAAAACCAAAGAAATTAAAAAAAAAATTTGCAAGCCCTTTTTTGAATGTCTACAGACTGACCAATGACAACTGAGTGGTGTGGAAGATTTCATAAATCACAGCAATGTGTACAAAATAAAAATTTCCAATAATTATGTATGTATAGGTATTCATATATCCGAAAACTTTTTTTTCATTATTATTATTATTATTTTTTTAATCTCTTTTCCTTTTTCAGTTTTTTTTGTCTCTTCTCTTGTCATTTGTATTGATTTGTACCTTCTCGTATGTAAATATGCTCTATATGTAATGTACATATGCAGATATCTGGCTGGACTTGTGGATATGTGCAGGTATAGATTACTCATGGAGGAATATGATTAGGTATCTGTACAGTTGTGAATGTGCATGTGCATATGTATACATTTATCATATGTTTATTATTATTTGCTGGCGTGGGAGGGATTTGGGGTTTGTTCTTTGAAATGTTAAACTTAAAAAAAAATCTGTCTGACATTTTTGTCAAAATTGAATTATTCACGTTTTTATTAAATGACAACTTATTTACATTATGGGATGTTTTTTTATAAGTTGTTCACATTTTAAGACTTCAAAAACAAAAACGGTTTATCTACAAAGTTGAACTCTAGCTTGGCTCTGTAAGGTTATTTCTGTTAGCCAATCAGCATTTTTTTATTGCAACCACGAGGACCAATCAGGACCATCTTTCTTTGTCATTTTTGACTGCTTCATTGACAGCGGGAAAGACCAGAAAGACAAAATCACACAAAAATGAGAAGAAACCTGAAACTGAAAAGATGTGCACAAATGTGATGATTTAAAAGCATTTTTTGACATGAAATTGAGATGAAATATTAAAATTTACATTGTTGAAAAAGAAACAGTTATTTAAAAAAACATATATTAAATGTAAAAAATATGAGCAATTCCAGTGTTATGGATGTGACATTTGCAGTAAAAACTCAAAACATACATTTGCATAGACAGTAAATGTTAACATTATATTGAAACTTTTGATTATATTTTCTAGAACAATGGACCACAGAGTTATGGGAACATGTTTTGTACTTCAAATGAGGGAAATAAACATGCGTTATGGATGCGACCAAAAAAGGTCTGTGGGTTTACAGCATACAACATACTTTTTAGAAATTCTGTGAATTAAACTACACAACTCCAAAGAAACAATGATATAAAGGATAAGAGTTGGCTCTCTATAAAACAAAAATGATTGGTTTTATTTTATTTAATATTTTCATCTCTCCATTATGGATGTGACAGATGTGAAATTGCTACTTGTGTGACTTTGGTAAATCAAATAATAGTCTGAGAACACTGACAGATGCATTTTTGAATATTTCTAAAGTACTGTAAAATACTTGCTTACCCCAAAAACCCAGAAAAGGTTTCCATATTTTGGTGAAAACTTAATTTATTTTGTGGCGAGGTTGACATTTGCATGGAATTGCTCTCTCTCTATATATTTTTTTTACATTTAAAACATTTTTCAGTGAGTATAAAACTCATTTGCTCATTGTCTGTTTTCTTTTAAAGTCTTTAAATTTGATATTAAGCCTTGAAGGACAAATACTTAATTTAACTCATAGGGCAAATAATCCAATAAATACAATCATATAAAGCATCAAATTTAATAAACAATAACACATTAATTTGATAAAATTTACATATGCACTGGACAAAATACTTAGCACAGACTTGTATGATTAATTTGAACAAGAAAAATTATTTATCCTAAACATTAAATAAAAGTTATAGAAAGCGAACATTTTAATATGTCAAGCATTAACATAATGTTAAAACACCAACTTATATATTTGTTGATTGTATTTCTTGAAAAGTAATGCTTCAATGAATGATCTGCCAGATAGAACCTTATAATTCCAAGCTGAAAATGACTTTTCAGAATAAGAGGTTCTATCTGCATTTACTGAGGTTTATTTACTCCGATTTGCACATGTAAGAAAACCTTGATAATTTACATGTAGAGTACATTTGGGTCTCTGCCATGTTAATGTATGAAAGAAAAATGTTACACACGTTGTTTGCTATATTGAATGGAAAAACTTTGAAGCTCAATATCTCAAAACCATTCAGAACGCAGATAGAACTTTATAAATCTAAGGTATGCCTATGGAATTAAAACACACTTATTTTTTCAACTAAAATTTCCCCTGAGTGAACACCCAGAAATGAAAATTCTATCGCTCACATCCTTTACTTGTTTCAAAAGAGTTTGAGTTTGTTTGCTCTGTTGAACACAGAAGATATTTTGAAGAATGTTGGAAACCTGTAACCGTTGACCATACTATTGTTTTTCCCACTATGGATGCCAATGATTACTAGTTTTCCAAAACATATTTTATACAGTATGTACAAATGAGAAATAAATGGTTTGGAACAAGTCAAGTAGATAATGAGGCGAGTAGATAATGATATTTACGTTTTGTTTCGTTTTTTTTGTGAGTGAACTATTGTTTAAAACATGTAATGAAAATAGTTTGTAAAACAAATTGTGTCATAATATGGACTTTTTCATTTTGGATTTTAATATATTATTAAGACATTAATAAATTATGGTTATTTAGAATTCTTTTAACACATTGTCTCATGTTTCATCTCATGGTTGATTTGAATAATAGCTCTGTTTGTTTAGATTTGTTATATATATATATATATATATATATATATATATATATATATATATATATATATATATATATATATATATATATATATATATATATATATATATATAGAGAGAGAGAGAGAGAGTAAAATAAATTAAAAATATATATATATATATATTTATATAAAAAAAAAAAAAAAAATAAACAAATAAATATAGAGATACATATATATATAT